TGCGTCTTTCTCTGACAGTTTAAATGCTTCCACACTGCTGATGTGCGCTGCTGCATAATAAAGAGTGCGCGCCTCTCACTCTGCGCTGGTTGCTATTTGACCGCGTCATATCATTGTTCGGTACAATTTATTCGGTCTTTTCTCTTATTTGGTTGCCGAACATTCGGTGCATCCCCAAATATAAATTCACGTCTCGCACACTTTAATGCCCTTTGAATGTAACATGTACGTTCCCTTGCAACTGGAATCATGACGGAATTTCATGTGAAGTCCACTTCGCAGGGCACTTACGGTCGAATAAGACAATGCTAGAATGCGGCTGCCTGAACAAGAGACCTCCTTTCTGAAGTTAAAGTGTTGACTGGTGTCACTATCTCGCGAACGCGCCAGCGGATCTCCACCAAATTCGGGGGATTCCAGCCCCCTGGAATCGCTTGATCGTTCGGCGCCGGACCGCGAATTTAACCACCGTAACTCCCGAACCCCGGGGGAGGTCTCATACGAAAGAGGGCCTCTAGACGTCTCTGACAGTTTAAATGCTTCCACACTGCTGATGTGCGCTGCTGCATAATAAAGAGTGCGCGCCTCTCACTCTGCGCTGGTTGCTATTTGACCGCGTCATATCATTGTTCGGTACAATTTATTCGGTCTTTTCTCTTATTTGGTTGCCGAACATTCGGTGCATCCCCAAATATAAATTCACGTCTCGCACACTTTAATGCCCTTTGAATGTAACATGTACGTTCCCTTGCAACTGGAATCATGACGGAATTTCATGTGAAGTCCACTTCGCAGGGCACTTACGGTCGAATAAGACAATGCTAGAATGCTGCTGCCTGAACAAGAGACCTCCTTTCTGAAGTTAAAGTGTTGACTGGTGTCACTATCTCGCGAACGCGCCAGCGGATCTCCACCAAATTCGGGGGATTCCAGCCCCCTGGAATCGCTTGATCGTTCGGCGCCGGACCGCGAATTTAACCACCGTAACTCCCGAACCCCGGGGGAGGTCTCATACGAAAGAGGGCCTCTAGACGTACACTCAATTCGCGTTCGAGAGGGTTCCTCGAGCTGAAGGGATCCCCTGAATTTGGTGCGGATTCGCCACGCCGTTACGGAGATATGGCCGTTCAAAGTTTCAATGGTTTTCCATAGACCAGGTCGCCAGTAGCAAACAATGGAGCTCTGCTGGACAAACTAAGTAATTACACATTTCAAGAATTTTATCTGCATTATACGTTCTGTAAAAAAAAATTTTATATTGGTGACAGGCTCATATCGGCCGATAATATCGGCAAAACGATATATCAGTCGGCTCTACACCTAACCCACCATTAAACCTACCCATACCTCCAAGCCTGTCCCTAATCTTACCCCTATCCCACCTCAATAGCAGCAAAAGTGCTTTGCAATACAATTTTAACACAGCAAGTGCATTGTACTTATTTTTTTTATCCAAGTACATAGTAGTTAAGGCCACCTAATATAAAGTGGGACCAATCTTTGAATACTTAAGTGTATATAGTGGGAAAACAGAATTTCATTGTCTGCTTTGCTAACTAAAAGCCTTCATTGCATGATTTGCATATTCCATTGATGGAGTACTGAATACTATCATGTTATCACAACACTAAAGGACACGTTTGCTTAAGTTTACACAGGTAAATAGAAAAAAAAAGAACCCCGAGAACTACAGTAACTTTTCACAGAAGTGTGCATTCCTTCTGGAATACAGAATTATTCCTACACACTGTACCATGTGAAAAACTACACATTTTCAAACTAGACTAGTCAGTAGGTTTCCTGAACGATTAGTCAACTATTTGATCCTAAGGAAGCCTTATATAATACAGATGGTTACAGTTATCCTTCTCTGACATTTTTGGGGTTGCAAGAAATCTCAAGACGCACTGAAAAATTGAAGTTCGTCTTAAACACAACACTTGAAACAGTATGCTGAAAAACAGCACAAAAGCCAAAGACATACGTATGAATGTTTCCGCATGTAACAGTGTCTTAAAGGTCATGATTTAAAAAAAAGAAAAAAAAGAAAGATTCTTAACACTCAAAAGCACTGCTGCTAAAAATACCAAAACGAACAGAGGATGAATATATAGAAATGGCTGCTTTGGGGGCCGATACGGATACCGATATTAGGGAGTAAAAAAAGATAGCAGCTGCAGAAAGAGAGCTGTAGCCGTGGTGGAGATGATTTTTGGTGTGCCGGCAGAACAACAACAATGTGCTACATGTTTCTTTTCCCCTTATTTTTTCCAATTGACGGAAATCCGTCGTAGTGACGGAAAACTTTCATCCCCGAGTAGTATTATGAGTAGAGATAGTTTTACTCCAATAAAACGGTCAGATGCACATGAAGTGACTCTCAGAGGGAGTCAGAGCAGTTCTGGAGATGTTGTTCATGTATTTATGTCCTCATGTAGTGAGACGACAGAAGCTGAAAATCACCACGAGCATCTCACTTTGTGTAGAAAACAAAACCGCGCGTCTGTGCCATTTACATACACAGACACGCAGAACATGCTGGATTCATATTTAAATAGTATTTTTGTGGCTTAATATTTACAGATACTAGTCCATATTGTGACTATTTAAGTGTACTGACCTACTTTTGGGGACGGAAAGACAAGAATTGCTATATGGATTAATATGACGATTAAACTTCGAAAGGCTACGATTTCACTGAATAAACTTGAGTGCTGCACGTCAGCTTTGTGGACTGCGGTTACCGGGGGAAAAAAACTGTTTTGAAAGTGAAACCTGCTGGCAGAGAATGAATTTGCTTTTTCAATAAGCCCATCTGCTTTTTAAATGTGAACCAGTGGATCGACACAAAGCTAATGCATTATAAAAATCTAAACAATTAAGACACCAAGATATATTTATGTTATTTAATATAATAATGAATTGATAATAATTGTTTAAATTAATATAATTGATACTTTTGACTCATCCCTTTTCTTAAATTGGTTAAAGGCTGAAATGTGAAGCGCAGATCTTTAAAAAAGGTCTTAAATTTGATTTTAAAAATCCTGCAGATACCAGGTTATTTTATGGTACCATTTAGAAGAACTTTGTTTTTTTTGTTTTTTTAAATCAAGCCCCTTTTAACTGACCTTTTAGGTTGTTTTGAGAATGTTCTGTAGGCTACAAATAAAAAAAGGGCCGCTGTTTATTTGCTTTTTGCAAATTTACAGACAATGCAATTGAAATGTTTACATTGGATTGTCGGGGTAATATTTCTGTCCACTGACAACAAAGTTTTCCTTCTGAATTAGCATAACTGCACAAGTTTTATACTTAAAATCTTTAAAAACAAATTACATTAGTTATACTTTAATTTCCTTCAATAAAAAGGAAATTGAGTAAAAGGTGTGTAGACGTGGATTAGTAATCTGGCCCCTTGGTATAAAGGAGAAAAAAAATGCTGGCCCTCATCACGACCAAAGTTGCCCATCCCTGACCTAGATAGATTACATCTGGGGGAAAATAAAGGATGTGATGTTCAGAACATGGTAACTACAGTAATTATCAAAGTGGGAAGTGATGCCCTCTGGGGGCATTTGGCCAGGGGTGTTTTTAGACTCCATTTAGTGGTTATTTTGGGGAAATCCCAGTTATTTTGAGCAGTAGAATGATAAAAAATGTGCGCCAATATAAAATTGCAAAATAAATCTATCAGTACTTTTTTACTTAAGTGCATAAATTTTACTTTTGTACTTTCACTCGAGTAAAATTGGAAAAGGAGTACTTTTACTGGAGTAATATTTTATTATATGTATCTGTACTTTTACTCAAGTACTTGATTTGTGTACTTCGTCCACTACTGGTTGTCGATGAGCGAAAGAGCAGAATAAGGATGGCAAAGCAAAGTGTGGATGCGCTGTCCTTGAAGGACGTTCAACTTGGACTGGAAAATGGTCAGTTTACTGCTAAGAAACCCACGTCAGGCAAGTCTGACTTGGGACATTCTTCTCAGGGATGGTAAATTGTTCGGTTAAAAAGTGATTTAACGTCGCAATGGCTACAAGCCAACGGTTGTTATTTTGCTTATAAATTTAAAATGACAGATGTCGTTTTTTTTCTCAAACCAGAAAAAAAAGCCTCTTTTATGTTGCACTTTAAAAAGGTTATTATAAAATGTAGCCTAATGAATAGTAAAATAATATTAATGATAATTTGCTGTTACAAACGATGAATTATTCAAAGTTTCAACAAGTTTCATTTGGACGAGTGAATATATAGTGTTTATATATAGTGTTATATCCACGGACTATTACCTGAAAAACAATGTCTAAAGAAATAGGAATAACTGCGTGATTTGTTGCTTCTTCACCGCAGTAAGAAAAAATCCCATACCGTCACAGCCATATATAGAAGTACAATTACTGACTTTCTAAGTAGTCACATGATACTAAATTACATTTGGCATTCAATGGCCATATTGAGCAATGAGAAAGTTAAAAAAAGGACATTCAATATTTGGGTGAGCTATTTTTTATTTTATTTTTTTTAAGCGTTATATTTTCAAATTAAACTGTCCTTATTTGGCAACCGACAATTACAATACTGCCAAATAAAATGGCTTCAATCGGATCATCTACATCAAATCACTTCCAATATCATAGGTCCATTATGACATTGCATTTAATTAGTGAATGAGAATTTTCTCAAGCAAGAGTAAATAAGCACAGCTCTACTGTGCAGATGATTATGATTTTCCATTCATCCCTAACACAATTACGTAATAAGGGGGAGCAGGTGTTAGCATGTCTGGGTGTACAGTGGGCGTTACCTTGAGAAGCAAAATTCCAGCTGCTTCTTCAGTGAATCCTTCAGACTCTCTTCAGACAGCGGAGGCTGCTCCTCGACCGTCTCACCCTCCACTGAGCAACACAAAACACATACACACCCCCAATGACAATCAGCCAGTAAGCAGCACTGGAATGGAGTGGAACTGAAGTGTGACAGTGGGTGTATGTGACAGACCTGGTTCGTAGAGTGGGTAAGCCAGTTCTGCGGACTCCATGCCATTCAACATGCTGTTCTCCATAGGAGGGGCTGACTCAGAGTCACCATAGCCAACACCATACTCCTTGAAACCTACAGAGGAGAAACGACAGTAGTAAATGAGTTTGGAAACTTACTGATCACTTATGTAAGAACAGCGATAGGCCATTTAACCCTCAGATCTCATAATCTCACGGTCATTAGGGCAGACACACTCCACTGAGAGAATGAGCAATAAATTTAGCTTGAGAATTAGAGAAAGATTGAAAAAGAACAGAATGGATAGAGTGAGATAGAGGAGAAACGAGAATTAAAGATCTCTACAGTGAGAATGGTTCTGGGTCCTTCCAAGCGCGATACTGATCATCACTGGGTTTTAGCAAACTTTAACATGACACTCCAAAATGGCCGCAGCTGCCAACAACACTTGCAATCAATCTAGCCATTTCCCAAGTAGATGAACTAGTGTGTAGAAAAAAAACACATAACTCAAAGCATATGGGTTTTAAATGACATGTAAATATTGAAAATTTTCAACATGAAGTCAATTTTTCCACATTTAATTACAGCACTAAACAAATGGCAATCAAGATACGTACCTTCCGACTCCTCTGTGGAGACAGTATCTGCTTGTGGCCAATGGCACGTCTCTGTGGCTGCCTCTGGAGCCTGGGTGTTTGGTGCAGACACTTCCTGCCACACTTTAGCATTGGGATTCAGACTGGCCCCCTTGGTGGTCACCTTGAAGACAAGGTTAAACAAATTCTGGGTTAATACAGTACAATTTTTTTTTTACAGTTAGATTTACACATCAAAATATAATAAAATCAGCAGAAATGTGTCAACTGTAGCTTAATTTAAACTGAATTGTAAGACTACTAAGTAGAACATTGCTGATCATTTATCTACCTATTACCATGCATCGGAAATAGACAGCCATCTACCGTAGCACAAATTAATCAAAGTTCATGTTTAATGAACAGGCAACAATGTAGTTAGGCGTCAGTGTATTAGGCAAATAGTTATCCACCCTGTTTCACAGTACGGTGGGAGGGTAACCATGAAAAAAGAAAAAAAGGGAGTAAAATACTGAAAAACTTGCCTTCTGAAATCTGAATACACATTAGCAGCATCTACTTCTCAAAGCTTGCTAGTCACAGCTGTTGAACAATCACTGATAATGGACAACAGCAGCAAACACTTTGGTAACAACATTACAAGTATCTGACTTGAGTTTCTCAATTGACAACATGTTAAGTGATTACAAAATGATAACATTTCTCTCAATATCAACTTGCATAAGAGACATTTTAAAGTGCACCAAAAATGCAACAGTGGCTCAATGGGTTTCTTTATTAGTAACATAATGGAGCCCATTCAGGAATACATAGATAAAATATTGTAAATGATTTGACACAGCATTGGAAAAACGCAGCAAAAGTGCAAACATTCACTCAAAATTATTTAAAAAAAAGGGGGGGGGGGTCTCTCTCAAGGGCTAACAACAGATAGGACTCTATCAAAGTTCCACATGACACTCTGAGGCACATATTACAACACCGCTTCCACCTTGCTGTATAGTAAAAGTCGAATTGTGTAAAATATAACTTAGATCTATCTAATCAAATGAAACGTTGCACTACAGCCACAAGGACGTCTGAAGAGCAAGGAATACAAACGCCACAAGATAAGCATGGGCACCAACTATGAACACACTTTACGAGTTTAAAAACCATAACTGCGCACAACTTCTCTCTAACATCTCTATACTTTACACTACTGCGCTCGATCAGGGATGAACCTTATTCACAAGATATATTACTTACCCGACGCGACACTCCATGCACACAGGCAGGAGGCTTTAAATAGTCGGCCTTTCACCCATTTAATCTGATTAGCCAATCTGATCAACCAGAGCGAGAGTTTAGAGCAAAGAGCTACAAACCTGCATCTGAAACGCAGCCTGGTTAACCTGACTAGCGCTTTATTGGATTTGGACGGGTTAAAGTTATTTTTGAACTAAAGGTTAAATTAAAAGCTGAGGCAATTCGTGGATGCCTTCAGTATTTGATGCGGTCTTCGCTTTAGTTGCGATCCGCGCCGATAAAAGTTACGTATTTTGCGCAAATAAAAGTCGCTGGCTAGATAGCCAAGTTAGCATTTGTCGCGCGCACGTGGATCTTTCGCTGTCGACGGTCAGTTCGCGTACGCATAAACAAAGTCTTACATAGCAGCTTAACTAATCTTGCTTATCGCTAACTACTCGCTTTAAAGTAAAAAAAACAATAAGAAAAAGTATGACTGCACTACAAAACCACAACAAATTCGTCTCCTTGTTGAACTCATGGCAGGCGCCATCGAGCTGAACCCATGCCGCAGCTGTGAAGAACCTTCGCGGTCGCCAGAATGACCTCATTAACTCACCTCCACAAACAACAGCATGGTCTTCTCCCCCGACAACGTTATCACTCGCTAGATAACCAGTAGGCGCTTTAACCTAGCTCACAATAACGCGGCACCGGATTCCACTTTCCGTTTAAAGCAAAAGTGCAAGTTCACAGCCAAAGAGTTTCCCGGCCACTCATCATCTGCATCAATCCCCTTTGCTCTGCGTAAGCATCTACACGGCGGTTAACGAGTCTGATTGGCCGTGCGCTAGTCTTTCCTTTGCCTCTTTTGTGATCACATGCAGCACGCTTTGAATATTTCCCGCCCACTGTTATGGGATTGGTGCGTGCTGGAATACGTCATAACGAATCTCCGTATGATTGGAGCGGGCTTACGTCTGTCAAACTTCTCTTCAAGTTACCGGAACTATAACCTCTGCCACCGAGATCACTGCTGAGCACGTGGCAACAGCTGAAACAAATGCTGTACAGGCCTGACAAAAAAATGAATGAATGAATGTAGTTAAAATGAACAATTTCGAAATAACGTTACATTCCGAAACAATCAAACGGCCGTTAAGGATGAAATTTGTGTTGCTGTATGACACGGTGTCTAATATCATTGTGTCACGAAGCACCGAATAGTCCTAGGAACGCCCAATTCAGATCACGAACAATCTGGTGGTTGGATCTCAATGCAATTATTCGCTATTGAAGACTAATGCAGAACAAACCGAGCCTACGTCCCAGTGCATACTATCCATCCTAAATTCTGTGATATTAGTCATTTTCAATACTATTTAGGGCAGATAGGGTGGATAATATGCGCATTGGAATGCAGGGTAAGACTTGACAAAAGCTGAAATCACCATATAAAGTCTTCTAGAACTTTCCAATAAAAAGTGGTTTAATAGTCATTCAGACAAAATATTAAAGTATGCTATTTTACTCAAAACAATATTAAACAATACTTCCTGTTTATGTAATTATTTACGAAATTCCATAGTTTCCTAAAAGTTACATTTTCTACTGCTGGAATTGTAACTCTGGGAATCTTGATCTACACTAGCTTTTCAGAAACCAAAGTGAATTTTATTTTATTCTGAATGTACACAGGAAAGTTTAAAGGGGTCATATGTGTCATACAAGTGTTACAAGCTCTTGGTGCATAAAGAAGATCTGTAAAGTTGCAAAAACTAAAGTCTCAAATTCAAAGAGATATTCTTTATAAAAGTTAAGATTTAACCACGCCTACCTAAAACGGCTCATTCTAACACGCCCCCACATATCTACCTCACTATCTGGGAAGATTTGCATAACGCCTCCCAAATGTTTACGCAAAGAAAGAAGGCGTAACTTTTATTCTCGCTGTAGTATTGTTGCAATCTCGCCATGTGGAGACGCTGTGTTTCGTTGTGAAAGTGAAACTACTTTGTTTGGCCTTCCAAAAGAGGACGATATCCGCTTCGTCATGCCTAGAGCTGATCCGTGCTGGTCGCTGAGGAAATACATTAATACATCGCCGGATCAGCTTTCACCGTGGACGAAGCGAAGTCCAGCCCGGGGTCGCCACATGTGGTTGGCGCAAGCCCGCCGGCCGCGCCGTTCTCAAGCCCACCGGCCTCCGCTCACTCTAAACGACAACTGGCAGTGCTACATTTGCTACAAGTGCCTGCACTTCAGCGTCCGTCCATCTATCGCTGTTCTCCATACTTGCGAAATAAGTTGACACAATGTTTACAGTATGTTTACACAGCGTTTTAAATCATGGTGGGTGAGGGCGTTTTCATACGCGTTTGGCCAATCGATGTCTACTTACGTCACGGTTAGTACCAGTTGTGCTGGTTAGACCCTGCTCCGGAGTAGGAGCTAATTTGGTTCTCGAAAAAGGCAGTCCGATACTAAAATCGCACCCAGTTCCGGCGGTGCGAAAACGCCAAAAAGTGGGTAGTTCCACAATTAGTTCTGGTACTATGAAAAGGTTCCCACGGTGCGAAAGGCCCTACAGTATGGTAGGGGCGTAACATTTCCGTCACACGCTTGAGGTATTCGGTTAATCACAACGCACTGGATAGCTGGCCAATCAGAGCACACCTCGTTTTTCAGACTGATGAGCTTTGTAAAAATCGACGCGTTTCAGAAAGGCAGGGCATAGAGGAGAAACAATAATGTACAGTATGTGGAAAATAATGTGTTTTTTAACCTTAAACCGCATAAACACATTTCATTACACCAAATACACAAAATAATGTTCTTTTTAGCAACATCATATGACCCCTTTAAAAACAGGTTCTCAAGCATTGGGCTGGAGCCCACTATGGGGCCTGAGCAAACTTCTTAGGTAGCCTCGAAATTACTTTTAAAATTAGGGAGTAAAAGCATTAAAATAAGATAACACAACTAAGCAACAAGATATTTCTTGCTTTAATGCACCTCCTCAAAAACCTCCCAAATGTAATAGGTAAAGGTAGCCTTCTTTTAAAAGTATAATTTCTAGACCTGCAGAAGACATGTAAATTAATAAAACTGTAAAGCGTAATGGGCATTTTTAATATGAATATACATTTTTCTAGTTTTGGCGAGCTCTGAAATATTTTTCAGGGTAGAAATTTTGAGTACAAGCTGTTTTTTTAAAATCGTTATTAACCTTAATCTTTATCATGAACAACTATCTATTTACAACTGGACAACAGTATTAATGTGATCATGAATATGAAGTGTGATGTGAGAATGACACTTTAATGATGTTATTGCACAAACTTTAGTTAGGAATTATCTCTCTTTCCTAGCAACTACTCAGCAACCACCTAGCAATGCCCCAACAAACATGCAGAGTACTCTCAGCTGCATATAAACAACTCTGAACACTTTAGCAATCGCCTAGCTAGGCAGGCCTACATTCCTTGAAATTTCAAATCTCCTTTCAGACTTAGTAGGCCTACATATTCAGTCTCAAAACAATCTTTGAAAACTTCCTTTCATTCAAAGTTTGTTTTTGCTGTTTATAATTTATAGTCATTTCTCCAGGCTAACATTCACTTTTTTATGCTGTCATTGTGGTAAGTGACAATTCAGATGACTGAATGCCATAATTAACAAAGTGGGGCACAGAGAGAGCGCGAGAAAGAAAGAACGTAAATCATGATCATCTGGAAAAGTCATGGGGCCTTTAAATATTGTTGTGGACAATGGGGGGCCTTGGAATCAAAATGCTTTCAAAGGATTCTCACAGGTTATACTGATGTCTGCATAATTCTGATCTTTCAGAGAGACTCCTGCAGAACAGACTCGGCACATCTAGGACAGAAACTGGAAACAAAACCTTAATCCACTTCATTTTGTTGCAAGTCCACATCTGACACAAGTATCCTTTTAATATTATATTTAATATTATTACCACATTATTACCATTGAATAGCATCACTGCATCATAATGGTGCATTTATAGGTAAAATGAAGGGTTTTTATGTTAAAGCTGACTTTCCTCACCATGTTAAAACATTCATTCCAATGACCAAGCCACTTAAGCCTATTTAATACTCAACAAATGACCACTGACGTCATTCACACAGGCATGATACAAGAATCTAAGCAAATCTTTAACAGCAGTATGTGCCTGATTAATGTATAATATACCTGTAATCAAATGTGAGTCACAGCTAGAAATTAAACCATGTCCAAATGGAAAAACACCTCATACTGCTTGATTTGTTAGATAAGAATATCATCAGCATTGCTTTATATGACAACAATTTAATACATTTAATTTATGATCAGGTTTTACTCTTTTAAAATGCCATTTTTTTAATCAATATAGATAATTAAATGGAAAGGCTTTTATTATTACTCAAGCAACTCGAAACAAACAGTTCGCATGGTTAAAAAAAGTAGTTAATTATAACCTAAAGCAAGCTGTCATGTGGTCATGATGTAGTTTAATTAATTTCCAAATGACATTAACCCGTAGTAATAGAAAAGTAGTCAACATTAATTTGTGTCACGCGTCCTAAAGTCATGAAACCATTGCTCACTTACAGCTCCGCTGACCAGGATATGAACACGTGCTAATGATAATTTACGCGCAGACGAAGCCTTGGTGGCAATATATTTAGTTTATGTTGCCTAGTAATGTCGTCTTACTGATGTCCGACTTAAAGCCGAGTAGCCAGTGGATCGATACTTCATTTGCAAACGACCTGACAATCTGTTTAGCGCGCAAGGACACAGGTAGTTTGTCAACGTATTGCAAGTAACGTTACACACTAGTGCTTACCATTTCGCTAAACGGTCACTCTAAACACGTTGCTCTAAATATGGACGTGCTGCATTATAGACGAAAAGTTACCACACGGTCACGTCGCGTTTAGGGGGAGGGTTAAGTGCCGATTCAGCACCGCAGGCCTGAGCTCACCATGCCGCCTGGGTCCTCTCCGGTTTTCTCCTCTTGATCTCGGGCGACTGATCCCGGCTCGACCTCCTCCTTCTGTTGCGCTTGGCTGCTGCTCTCCGAAGTCATCGGCCGCCTTTGGCTCTGCGATCAAGCGCCGTGCGCCTCCTCGCCCGATCCGCCACTCCTCTCCTCTCCTCCTCGCCGGCTGAACGCAACAAGCGCTTGCTCTAGCTAGTTAGGGTCGGTTTGTCTTACCGTTTCAGAAACTCAACGAATGAAGGAAGGAAGAAAAGGGAGCACTGACGCTTGCGAATCTATCTCCAGTACGGGTCGAACGTTACTTTATACACTAATAAGCCTTAATGGGCATCAGCGAGCGTTTCTGACAGACGGCAGACATTCACCGCCACCGTCCCGACAGACAATGCGAGCAGCGAGCACCCCATCCGTTGCGCTAGCTCTTCCCTGGCAACAGAGCGCAACACGCGCTGCGCCGCATAGCGACAGACGCGCAGCGAAACTGCAGCCGGGCAACTGCGAACCATGACACAGCGAATAATACACACGTAATTACAGCAGTCCTCCACCTAAACTGTTTTTGTGTCATTTGAGATTGGTTAATGCTTATGCCCTTCATTCTGAATTTTAAACGTTTTTAGTAAAGTATAGGCTATTACTGATCAAAAATACAGTAATATTGTGAAATATTACAATTTCAAATAACAATTTTCTATTTGAATATATTTTCAACTGTAATTTATTCCTGTGATGCAAAGCTAGATTTTCAGCAGCCATTACTCCAGTCTTTAGTGTCACATGATCCTTCAGAAATCATTCTAATATGCTGATTTGGTGCTTAGTTATTATTAATCATGGTTCTTCTTCTTATTAATGTTAAAACAGTTTCTGCTGCTTAATATTTTGTGGAACCTTTTTTTCAGGATTAGAACGTTCAGAAGAAGAGTGTTTATTTGAAATGAAATCTTTTGTAATGTTATATATATATATATGTTTTACTGTCACTTTTGACCAATTGATTGCATATTTGCTGAATAAAAGCATTACATTTACATTTAGTCATTTAGCAGACGCTTTCATCCAAAATGACTTACAAATGAGGACAATAGAAGCAATCAAAACCAACAAAAGAGCAATAATATGCAAGTGCTAATTAATGTAAATGTAAACACACACACATTTGAATGGTAGTACATCATGGTGTCTGTTTAAATATTAAGCAGCGCAACTGTTTTCAACATGGATAATAAGTAATGCTTTTTGAGCAGCAAATCAGCATATTAGAATGATTTTTGAAGGATCATGTGACATTGAAGACTGGAGCAATGGCTGCTGAAAATTCAGCTTTGTATCAGAGGAATAAATTACATTTAGTCATTTAGCAGACGCTTTCATCCAAAATGACTTACAAATGAGGACAATAGAAGCAATCAAAACCAACAAAAGAGCAATAATATGCAAGTGCTAATTAATGTAAATGTAAACACACACACACATTTGAATGGTAGTACATCATGGTGTCTGTTTAAATATTAAGCAGCGCAACTGTTTTCAACATTGATAATAAGTAATGCTTTTTGAGCAGCAAATCAGCATATTAGAATGATTTTTGAAGGATCATGTGACATTGAAGACTGGAGCAATGGCTGCTGAAAATTCAGCTTTGTATCAGAGGAATAAATTACATTTTAAAATATATTACAATAGAAAACAGTCATTTTAAATTGTAATAATATTTCACAATATTAGTGTTTTATTTTATTTTGAGCACCTAAATGCAGCCTTGGTGAGCATAAGAGACTTCATTAAAATATTTAAAGATTGTAATTGTTTACAAACTTTCAACAAGTCCTGCATGTGAGATATACACACACATCATACGTCTAGATAATTGTCTTCAGAGGTCTACACAGAATAAGTAAATGTACATAAATGTAACAAATGATGTAGTGTCAGGTTTTAAATGTCAACTTTTTATTTTTTTTCAGCATGGGTGGAAAATTGTACATAAACATTTCACAGTAGTCATAACATTTCTGCTCTCTGTAACATGGACTAGTAACTCATCTGCTTGGGACAACAAATCAAACTATTTCTTTTATTGTTTTGACACATGAAAATACTAGTAATGAAATGCAGATACATGTACAGTTCTGTAAATTCGCTTTTAGAAAAGCAAGAACTTTTTCTTTAGCCGATTTCAGATGTAAATATGTGCATTCAAAATATTTGATGTATAAAAAAAATCCACGGCAAATATTTGCCACAAAGCTATGTTGTGCCACAAAGTAAATCTCCTCCAAAGACATTAATCCCAGTGCTGGGAGGCTTTGTGGATACAGCCAGGCTGTGCCCAATGCTTCATTTGTTCACTAAACATGAGAGTGAAAACATGCAACAGAAGAATTGATTAGTTGTTTGATGCAGGCAAAGTGCTGGATGTCCTTCTCCTCCCGAGGAGATGTGAACATATTGACATCAGAGCAGTGGTTCTCCGTTTCAAGGGTTCAGAATGGATCCATCTGAAAATTAAACGCTCAGGATCTCCCCAGAATTTTTTGCCATGCTGCTTGGAACCGTTTTAGGCTTTAGTGGTGCCAGACTGTGATGCCTGTTGACTGTGCAGCTGCTGAAGCTTCATATTCATGACTTCCACAACAGCTGTTGGAGGCAGATGCAACTTGTATTAAATGCATTTATGATTTGTGCAGGGGTTTTGTAAAAGATAAAAGTAAGTGAAATCACCTTGTTTCATAGCATGTTTTTCTTGTAGGGCAGGCTGAATTTTCTCAATTTGTTTTGTAAGGAAGTCGATTTTGCGCTTAAAGAACTCTTTGCCATCCTCGACATTCTGAAAAGACAAAAAAATAGTGACATTTATTTGGAAATGTTTTCAAACTATTATAGAGATATGCAAAATCTTGGCTCACCTTCTCCACAAAATAACCTGTTCCGACATCCACTAAGACATGATCCACATCATTCAGTTTTCCAGGCACATACATCTGCAATGCATGTTAAGGGAACATCTTATCTGAGATTAATACAAATGAATTACATAAACACCAAACTGTGGTACTTTTTGAGGGTCTGATGATGGATTGATATTTTCTGAGACAACATTAATCAGTCATCACTCAGCTGAGCTGTTGAAAGGATACAGAACTGGTGAGTGGGACAAGGAGTTCTTTTCCTGAGGGGGGAAAAAGTTAAATGAATTCAGTGAACAGATTAGATTTAGCTAAAGATGTAACAGTGGAATAAATCAATTTATTTCAAATGAGCGTCATATAAAGTATAGCAGTAATAATCACCTTCATTGCTTTTGTTAAGTACATTCAAACTGTCTTTGGCCTCCACATATTTAGTTTGGACGACTTTCAACTGGCCTATGGATGATGACAGGAACTCTGTTTCCTAGAAAACAAATTCATGTCATTTTGTTTAACATGGCTCCAATAAATTGCAGTTTACTGGGGAAAAAAATTGAAAAACCGTTTATTCTGCTTCTGCACACATTATCAGAGATACATCTGAGGCATGTCAGAATTTTAGATCACCCATGTCTTCTAAATCCACAGTCCTTGACTTTCTGAAGACAGTCTTCATTGTTTATGGTTGTTGCTGCTGGAACAGCCTGTCGGTTTTTCTATTAACACTTGCCCTGTTAATGCCGTTTCCCCCCATATGTTCTCTTTCATTCTTAAATGTAGTTCCTTCATGTCCACCATGTCAAGTTTAAATAACCACCACTCTAAAAAACATGCTATAAAATCACTTTATTTTGAAGCAGTTTGGCATTTGATATAACTTTAAAAAAACTTTAAAAAAACAGGAAATAAAAATGTACAAGAAAGAACTTATACATCAAAAACAAATGGGACTTTCTGGGATCTTGAGGTAACTAAATCAGCAACTGCAACCACACAACAACAACATGGCAGAAATCAAATGAGGACTTTAAAATGGCAAAACATTTTGAGCTTGTGGCATAGGCACAGGTTAGATTTAGTCCTAGATTTTCTAGATTCATTTTCATGTAGGCAGAGCTTATTCTTTGCATTGTAAACAAGCCCTGAGATTGGTTATATTATACCTTAAATAACAGACAGTTGCCTTTACACATTAAAAAATTCAGCTGTGAATAATAAAATTTCAAATTTCAAATCTGGGCTAGTGAATATACACAGGCAAACCATATGCAATGGGCGCAGCACCAATTATATGTTTTAAATGTGTGGCGTTGCGCGATTGGGCTAAATGCTGAAGAAGGGAGGAGCCAGAATTAAAATGTAAAAAATATTGAGCTTGTGTTAACCACAGACCTTATTTCAGGCACTGAACCAAAAACCCCAAGCATAAAAAAGTCAGAACAATGAAACCTTTGACTCGCTGCTATAGCACTACAGTATATAGAAATAGATTTTAAATTAACTTATGCCATAGCTCTCAAATTTCATTTGAGTTCTGCCAAGTTTTTGACATCAAATATTATTGGTTATCACAAAAAAAAAAATAAAAAAAATAAAAACCGCTGCTAAATATATCCTTTGTGTTCCATGGAAGCTAAAGATTTAGAATGATGAATGATTGGTGAACTAACTCCAAGTAATATTCTGCACATGTTGTGCTTGTACTAAGTAGGGTATATACCTCTTTCAGATGACCGTGTCCAAGCACTGCATGTAATGAGGGCATGCGAGTGACAGAACAAGACTTCAGACAAGCGATGTTCTCCCAAGGCAACCTCTGCAGGAACTGTGGAAACACAAAATATTCAGTATATTTACTCGGCTCAAAAAATTGAATTGCCTTGCAGATAAATGATGTGTACCTTATCTAAGATGAGAACTGTATGTCCCTTTGGCTCCTCCCTTCCTCTCAGTTCAGTCACACCACCCTGCAGAAGCCTCGGGAAGTCCTTGTCCTGCTGACCCATCCCCTCCACGAGGCACTGCAGGTCTGGCAGGGATAGGAGTGGAGATGCTGAGAGAACCACCTTCAGAGAAAAAGTAGTATCGAGAAGGTGTTACAGGTGGGAACATGCGACTATCAAACAAATACAGGTGCAAAGAGATGCCACATACCTTAAGAATGTCCTGCGTGATCTTTGTTCCTTTCAGTGCCTTTTGGAAGCACTTCACCTGAACTTCAAGCTCAGGGTCAGAGGACAAAGGCAGGAGTAGAGTTCGCCACACCCTTAAAGCCTCTTCCATCTCTTCTAACATTTTCTGATGGACAAATAAAGACAGCCTCACATTGTGTACCCAACATCCTTCCTTCTACATGAATCATTTTCTAATTGTCAAAGACCATATGTCTCACCTCCACACGAGCATCCAAAGCCTGTCTTCCTTCCCACCACTGCGATTTCTCAGCCACTGTGCTCACTTCCTTTTGCCCCTTCAACACTCTATCCATTTCTTCCAACAGCACAGCAACAGAGCGCTAAAAATAAAGGCAAATTGTTTGTGCAAACATCTCCCCAATGTGAAAAGAGGATCTTAATGTTTTAAATGTGTTGCATTAGGTAATAAACCAAAGTAGTGAAAGCACCAGCACACAAGTATATCTGTACCTTTCTGTCTGCAGTAGGGATTCGAACAGTGATTGGGGTAGAGCCACGCTCCAGTCGGGTCAGGAGAATAGTGCTGCCAATTTCATCAGGATACACACCCGTGAGCGACAGCATGCACACTGTTATTCCTGGAGTAAAAATACATCATTTTAAATGGTTGGTTGTTTGGGGTTTTAAACCTATGCCAGCATCTTTGGCTATTTTTATTGTAAGTAATAAGCTGAGAGAGTATAAAAGAGCAATTTAAAAACCTGTATGAATGGGGAACTATCAGGTTTTAAAAATTTGCCTTCGATAAAAGCAAGTACGGATTCAGAGCTTTTTCAAGAGTGCTTGCAGAGTAATAGAATTTCCTTAAACCAGCACTATTTCATCAAAATTAAATCATTCTGTATCATTCTTACAACACATAAACAGGGCCAAAAATTGCCTTACATTTTCTTACCACCATGAAACTATTTTGCAAATGTTTTATTACAAACAGTGCCATTCAGTGGGTCATTTTCAGCACGGCAGTTACCTGCTGGCAGATCTTTCAGCTGCTGCGTGAACTGCTGACAGTGTGTTTGTGGGAACTGTGTTGGGTGTGAGGAGGTGAAGGAAAAGATCTGCTCCAGCGCAGAGAGTTTCTGAGACTGTGTTGCCCCAGACGTTTCCTCCAGACTCAGAGCACCAAGACCTTCTGCTACATCATTACATGATTTCTTTAGCTTCCTACAGAGAAAGACAGAGAAGAGGTCCTGTGAGACAATTTTTCTGTCAACATGTCTGCATTTCATGCTAAACTGACATACCTGAACTGGCTAACCACATGACGGGTCATGTGGTGGCGAGTGGACACACCCAGTGACTGTGCATGTAGCATTGCAGTAGTGGTGGGATCCGTCTGGCCGAGTGACTGAGCGAGCAGTGAGCAGATGTGGGGAAAAAGAGAGGGAGGTGGGAAATGGTGGAGGAGGAGCCACGAGGAACGCAGGTACGACTGGACTGCCTCTACTGACAGGTCAGCTAGATATGACATAAAACAAATACATTTATAGTAATCAAGACACTCAACTTTGACAGCCCTAAATAGCAAGCACTGAAAAACATAATTTTCATTGTTCACAAACACCCTAACACCCATTCAGTTTTTTTTCTACATTTTTGCTTATGCTCACCAAGGCTGCATTTATGTGATCAAAAATACAGTAAATATAATAAAATTGTAAAATATTATTACAATTGTGCTGCTTAATATTTTTGTGGAAACCATGATACATTTATTTCAGCATTCTACAAGGTCAGAATTACAGCAGACTACAAGGTTCAAAAGAACAGCATTTACTTAAAATAGATATCTTTTGTAAAGCAGGAGTCTGTGTGGGTCAGACACGAAAGCACATGCTGGCGTTTGGGCTTCAGAGGGGGAGATGCTCCTTGGCTTCCTAATCGAGACATGGTCTCCACAGGCTCCTTGAGAAGGGCACGAGAGCTGAGGATTCCACTCAGATCATCATCTTCCTCAGGGGTGTGACCAGAGGAAGAAGGGGCAGCTGGCCGACCTTTGCGTGGTTTTATTTTAACCTCAGATTTCTGTTGCCGTCCCTGGCCAAAATCTATAAGCAGGAGAGATGAAAGTATAATAAATACTTTTTTTTTTAATTACTGTCTATAAGTCTAATTACATAAATACATTTCTATTATTTATAAAGAAATTATATTTACAACAAAAATTTATTAGTTAATGAATTTTAAAAAAAAATCATCCAATAAAACACATTTCTATTATATACATATACCTAAAATAATGCTTTCTGTTCCACCCTGCATATAAAAATCACAAATAATGACTAGAGAGGGTTCAAGGGGTCTTGTCTTAGTAATTCTGGGTGGACCTTTCACAGGGAAGAATGAGAATGTCTCTGATCACATCTTTACCTGTGCAGAGATCAAGTAAGTTTCTAACTTGATCCAGATCTAAACTACTAGCTTCATTTGCACCCTTCTTCAACTCCAGTTCTGCTTTCAACACCAACAGCTCAGCACAGCTATAAAACAAAATAACATGCGATTACAAATGCACAAACAATTTGTCTGGTATCCCAGGAGTACAGTACATCCAAACCTACTTGTCGCTTAAAAGACAAAGCATTATTTGGTTCGTGTTGTTGCCCCTCAATGTCAGAAACACATGTTTGGATCTGACCCGTCACACACATTCTGCCTCGCACATTCTCAGATATGGAGTATGTACTCACTGGCTGAGTGTCTGCAGTTTGGTGGCCAGTTTGAGAGCCTCTAGACACTGAGCTTTAGCTTCATGAACAGCCCCACTGCTGCTCCTCACGGTCACCATCCTTTCGGAGGACACTAGCACCTCACTCAGCAACAGCCACTTAAATACAACACTGTCTCCTACAGAGAGAAAACACACCAAGTTGAAAATAACCAAGAATAATTTTTAGGTAGTCAAATCTGCTTAGAAACGGTTACAGCGTGATGTACCTTGATCTACAAAGTGTGTGTCTGTGTTTGGTCCAGGGGCTCCGTAAAACCCATTGCCCAGCAACATCATCACCAGGCTGCACAAAAGCTTTAACCCTTCATATTGTGCCGTGTCTGGAGTCTTCAGACCTACAACACACACAATTTATAAATTTACTCCCGCACAGTATTAGGGCAAGTGATGTGACTAGTTTTCTGTCCATACTCAAGTTGTTCAAAAACACATTCACTACCATTCAAAAGTTTGGGATCAGTAATATTTTTTTCAGATATTAACACTTATGCAGCAAGAACACATTATAAAAGATTTCAGTTTCAAATGAATGGCAGTTCTTTTAAACCTTATATTCAAAGAATCCTGAATTTTTTTTTAATGAACGTAAGCATAACTGTTTTCAACACAAGAATATGAAATATTACTTGTGCACCAAATCAGCATATTAGAATGATTTCTGAAGGCTCATGTTACCCTGAAGACTAGAGTAATGGCTGCTGAAAATTCAGATTTGCCATCACAATAATAAATTGCACTTTAAAATATAAACATTATAATAATTGTAATAATGTAATAATACATTGTAAGAATTTCACAATGTTACTGTTTTTAACATTTATAATTAAATAAATACAGCCATTGTGACACTTTTCAAAATATTTTTTGAAAAGCTATATTAAATTGCAATATTATTGTTTTTACTGTCTTTTTGGTCAAATAAATGGAACTGTGATGAGCAAGACAGGAATCTTTCAAAACAACATTTTTTCAATAGGAAAATTTTATATTTCCTTTTTTAAAAATCAAGCAACTTTTTTCCCTAGCTCTAATGAAAGTTCATGCAAGATAATGTGTGAGCTTACACTTGAGATATAACGGTTTTGTTTGTGGTACCTAAATGTGTAATGTGTAAATTATATGAGCGCTAACCATGCTGAGTGATGCTCTGACGTAGCTGTGAGTCCAAAGTCTCTGTGTCCAGACTCAAGTATTCACTAGCTGTTTGCAGTGTTCGTGCCCTGAGCAGGTACCAGCTCTTAGAATGATGCTGAGCAGACTCCTTTATCACCTCCATCAGGCAGCACACACCACGCTCCATCTGAGAGAGAGAGATTAGTGCTACTGTGAGCAAGTATACAAATACAGTATAAAGGACAAGAGTCTACTCCTGAATTAAATTGACTAACTGGTCCACAAAATGTTATATGAACAAGCATTACCTGTCCTAAAGCATAGTGTATCTGTGCTTTCTGCAGCATAGCAAGCATGGATATAACAGATGTGCCCTCAGAGCTCGGGACAGAGGTCAAACTCTGCTCTGCTTTTTTTAACTCCACCTGAAACATGCAGACAAAGTTCTGGTGTGAACAACATGTTAAGAGCACAGAGGTAAAGTGTAAACAATTTATTCACCTGTGCAAGCTGAGGAGAGCCCAGATACAGCAAAATCCTGGCAGATTGGCAAAAGGCATTTGCACTATTCTGGGCATCGCCGAGGCTACGGAAAAGGGCAGCAGCGAGCTGATATCCCTCCAGAGCTTGCAGGTGCTAAGAGAGACGATCATTAATCAATAGGAGTCTCAAATACTTCTCTCTTGGGTATGAGTTTGAGTAAACTGATGTTACACAGACATGTGGGTGAGTAGTCTTACTTTGCCCATAAGAGTGTAGAGGGCAGCCATCAATGTCATGGAAGAAGCAGTGAGTTTAGGGTCTCTAACTGCAGGCACAGACCCCTTGAGCAGACTCCGCCACAGAGACAAACATCTGTCCAAAGGCTCACTCAGCTCTGACACACACATGATTCAACTGCATTAAATTATCCCATAAAGCAGTGCTTCTCAAATCTCTTCTGGTGTCTGAATTCTACGTTTGAGTGTATGACTTACTGCTTTGAGCTAGTAGATTGAAGCATAGTCCATCATAGACTAACTGGCTCTCTTGTGATTTCTGTTTGTCTTCATACTCCAGATCATTAGTGGGAACAGGATCCATATTCATCTCCATTTTATTCTCCTCCTGCACTGCACGCAATCGCTTCTCTGTGTCCACAGCCTGTGACATGCCAAATGAAAATAAATTGACTTTTTTCCAGTATGTACATTATGGTACAAACGTTTGGGGTCAGTAAAATTGTTAAATCTTTTTGAATATTTTGCTTTGAAAATAGAATCTATAGATTCTATCTATAATGTACACTGTGAAGCTACTGACCTCCTGCAGGTTGGTCTCAAGAGTACAGATGTAGAGCCACAGGGAGGCGTGTGCCTTCTCATCCATCAACCTATCAGCATTCTCTGCTGTCTCTGGCTCCGAATCCAGCAACCACAATGCCTCATGGGTGAAGTCAACTGCTGAGCTGATTTTACCATGAACAAAAATATCTTAAGTGCTTCATAGGTTTATATCGGATTCAAATAAGAGAAAAGCAGAAAAAGTATTTAAAACAAATATGGTCCTGTGGTCATGTTTACCCACCAGTCAGTCTGTTGGCTGAAGTCCTGATAGCACACAACCTGTGCCATCTCACTCAGATAAGTTGCCCGTCTCAGAGTGTGTGGGGTTTCTTCATGGCAGATATCCAAGAGGTCACAGAGTGTGTTGTAGCGCTCCTGGGTTGTGTCTCCAGTCTGCTCTTTATACAAACGCAACTCCTCTTCTGACAAACACATCATCACCTCCTCATCTGCTATTGCTTCTCCCAACCCATCCCTCAGAGTCCTGACACCAAAAAAAGCCCTTAATCAGCACATTCAATCACACTTAAACAATAGTACATCAGAAACCCTTTTCAATTGGCTTAGTTTAAGCTACCTTAGACGCGTGTCATCCTCTCCTGCTCGGGCAGCATCACACTTGGTTTTGACCCACAGCGAGACAGGTTCTGCCAAATGATCCAAAATCTGTGTTCCCAAAACCTGAATCCAGCGCACAATCCAGTCTAGAGCCCGCTCCAGCTGACCCCCACGCCGGCTACACTGCACTGTCAGCATGAAACAGCGGTTGACCTGAAACATCAGCATAATACATCTACAGCTGAGAGGCTTATATTTGACATTTACGCATTTAACTGAATGTACAACTTATATTTATATAGAACATATATTCAAATATTCATAATAGATCAGAGTAGACAACACACATACAAGGTACTTGACTTGAAGGGCCAAATGAGTGCTCTTTATACAAACGCAACTCCTCTTCTGACAAACACATCATCACCTCCTCATCTGCTATTGCTTCTCCCAACCCATCCCTCAGAGTCCTGACACCAAAAAAAGCCCTTAATCAGCACATTCAATCACACTTAAACAATAGTACATCAGAAACCCTTTTCAATTGGCTTAGTTTAAGCTACCTTAGACGCGTGTCATCCTCTCCTGCTCGGGCAGCATCACACTTGGTTTTGACCCACAGCGAGACAGGTTCTGCCAAATGATCCAAAATCTGTGTTCCCAAAACCTGAATCCAGCACACAATCCAGTCTAGAGCCCGCTCCAGCTGACCCCCACGCCGGCTACACTGCACTGTCAGCATGAAACAGCGGTTGACCTGAAACATCAGCATAATACATCTACAGCTGAGAGGCTTATATTTGACATTTACGCATTTAACTGAATGTACAACTTATATTTATATAAAACATATATTCAAATATTCATAATAGATCAGAGTAGACAACACACATACAAGGTACTTGACTTGAAGGGCCAAATGATTCACAAAATGTCACAATATTATATTTCTCATTTTTATTTGTTGCTAATCCCAAACAAAGTTAACAAATGACCAGAAGAAACTGTAGTTCTTACCCTATCCACAGGAAGAGAGGGTGGGCAGTCCTTACACAGCTCCTGACACACAATCACAGCCAAACCAAAGGCTCCCTCATACAGCTTCCTGTTAAACAGCTCATACACCACATTATTCACTGCACACACTAGAAGAAGAAAAAAGCAAAGTCAAATTGATATAGAATTCATTTTATGCATGTGCACTCCCTACTGTTTACAACTTTGGGGTCTGTAAGATTTTTTGTAAAAGAAATTAATATTTTGATTCAGCAAGGACACACTAAATTGATCAAAAGTGACAAAAACTTTTACATTGTTACAAAAATGTCTTTCAAATAAATGCTGTTCTTATAAACTTTCTATTAATAAAATAATCCTAAAAAAAAAAAGTATCACAATTTCCACAAAAAAATAAGCAGCACAACTGTTTTCAACCAAATCAGTATATCAGAATGATTTCTAAAGGATCATGTGACACTGATGCAATGGCTGCTTAACATTTTAAAATATATTAAAATAGAAAACCATTATTTTAAAATTGTAATCATATTTCACAAGACTTCAGTTTTACTGTATTTTATCAAATAAATGCAACCTTGGCAAGCATGAGAGTTCATGCTTTATTTGAAATAAATCTTACAAACCCTAAACTTTTGAAATATATCTACAATGGCTTCAAACATAGGTCATCCAATAAGATTTCAGCATGCGGACTTCAGGCAGATGTACCTGCTTTAAGTAAGAAATTGTCATTGTTGAGTGTCCGCAGTTCAGCAAGCATCCGTCCTGCTGTCGTCTGGCAGAACAACAGCACTCTGTCCAGAGCATCTCCCGCAGACACCTTTGGATGCAAATGTTAAATGAAGGATATGAATGTGAAACATCTAGCTGATCATAAAACTTAATCGTGGTCTCAAGACAGTTTAGCATATTACCTGAGATACATGAAGACTATCGTACGTGATAATGAAGCCCTGATAAAAACTGAAACAAAGCGAGTACTGCACCTGCTGTGAAAATGAGTCCTGGAACACAAACACAAGCTTTAAAATAAAATTCATATTCAATAATACTCATTACTGAGTAACAGCAAATTATTATATAAACTTACTTTTTGCTGTGTGAGCAGAAGTTCCTGATATTCTTCCAAAAATGATAAGCAAGCCAGCAATGTAGTTACGTCCATGCCTTTACACTGACCAGCTTCCATCGCCCAAACCACCAGCTGACAAGCCTCTAATAGGGCATGAGACTCTGCAGCCGACATGGAACGGGACAGCCCCCTGAGGGAACGTGCACTTTCAGTGAAAGCCTTGCTGCATTCACCTCCCAAGCTTAACGCACTCTGCAGCTGCACTGCATGATCTGCAAGGCTCAAAGCCAAACGCAGACCCACGTGTCTATCAACACCCTCCAAAGCACCACTTAACAGTCCAACAGCCTCGGCTGAAAACAGACTCTTGCAGAGCAGTTTACAAACCTTAAACACCACCTCACACTGCACTGCTAGCGAGAGACATGTCAGTGCAGAGTCCTGCAGATTGATTAAAGGGCTGAAGAACAGTTCTCGTAGTTCAGAGGACAGAAAACTCACATCGTCATGAGTAAAACCACCACAAGATCGTTCATATTCTACAACTGCTTCTTCTACAAACAGAGGAACTTTAGATGGAAAAGAGGCCAAGCTGGACCCCTGTTCTAGGAGTTTGAAAGTTAAAGCTTGCAGCTGACAGTGAAGCCTGTCCTGCGGAAGGAGGGTGGAACCACTCGCTCTGTTGGACTGGAAACTGTTCCACAGCACTGCGAAGCAATTCCGTACCAGAACATGGAAGTCATCTGTCTGTTGACAAAAAAAAAAAATGAAGTTTACAGAAAGCACCTTGACATATGGACACATTTTATTACATTCAAAAGAAATCAAACTGTCTCCAAGCTACCCACAATTTTTGATCAAGGCTGAAAAAACAACACAATTTTAAAATGTTTTGACCATAGTTTTAATCGTTAACTAAAACTAAAATATTAGAAACATTTTTGTTAATTAAAATAAAGCTGAAATAAAATAAACTATAAATATTGGATAAAAATTACAAAGAAAATAAAAAATGTAGTCTTGAAATTTAAAAATGCAGGAAATTTGTTTTAGATTTTTTTTTATTGGCTCGAAATAAACACAATTAACTAAAATTGTACTAAAATTTAAATAAAATAAAGTGAAACATAGAAGGAAAATACACAATTATGTAATACAAGTTTGAAAACACAAGGGTTGAATGACTATTTATCAACTCTAGGTTAACGTTACTGAATTAAAGGCATATTTCATATCATCAGCTATAAAGTCTTGTACACTTTGACATTTTTTATCATTAACTAAAACATTAGAAACATCGTACCAGAACATGGAAGTCATCTGTCTGTTGACAAAAAAAAAAAAAGAAGTTTACAGAAAGCACCTTGACATATGGACACATTTTATTACATTCAATAGAAATCAAACTGTCTCCAAGCTACCCACAATTTTTGATCAAGGCTGAAAAAACAACACAATTTTAAAATGTTTTGACCATAGTTTTAATCGTTAACTAAAACTAAAATATTAGAAACATTTTTGTTAATTAAAATAAAGCTGAAATAAAATAAACTATAAATATTGGATGAAAATTACAAAGAAAATAAAAAATGTAGTCTTGAAATTTAAAAATGCAGGAAATTTGTTTTAGATTTTTTTTTATTGGCTCGAAATAAACACAATTAACTAAAATTGTACTAAAATTTAAATAAAATAAAGTGAAACATAGTGAGCGACGCCTCGTGGTACCATCACAGAGAGGCTCAAAATCACTCTCCAGAACATTCTCGTTCACCACTCCTGGCTGGTGGAACGATCTTCCCACCCCTATCCGGAATGCTGAATCTCTAACAATTTTCAAGCGACAGCTGAAAACTCATCTCTTTCGAAGCTACTTGACTTCATCATAAGGAAAAAAAATAAATAAATGATATCTCTTTATTTATTCCTTCTCTTTCTAGCTTGTACTTATTTGAACAATGTCTAGAAACTTGGTATTACAGTCACTTCCTGTATCTGTATGCCTCTTTAAGAAGAATCGTTTTATGTATCCCCCAATTGTAAGTCGCTTTGGATAAAAGCGTCTGCAAAATGACTAAATGTAAATGTAATCACATGCAACAGCTACACAGAAAACAATTTTTACCTTCAGCTCGTCGTGAAGAACTACAGTGTCTTTTACACATGATAACTGCTGGACGTACTCCTCTGTTCTCAAGCACTTCATTATCACTGTTGTGACTGTAAAACAAACTGCTTGTTAAATGACAAGCATTTCAGATATTAGACGATTTAGTGACATGACATATACATATACACACAAACATATAACGGTCCAGACAAAATACGCAATTATGTAATACAAGTTTGAAAAGATAAAGGTCTGGATGAAAATCTACTCTGAATTAACGTTACTGCATTAAAAGTATATTCCATGATCATCAACTATGCTGTCTTGTACACTTTGTCATTTAAGTATAAACTAGCATGTTAGCTAGCTACCTTAGGCCAGCGTTAACCCACAATCCGTGTAAACAAATCAAACAAACCTGTTAGCCTGCCACCACCATGCTAGGTTAACCGGTCAAATATGGAGGAACAGCGATACTATTTTAGTGTTGTGAATTGCGTTCATGTGTGTCTCTAATTAATGTGGTTAAATAAAGGTAAAATGTGTTATTATATCCACTCGCACTTCGCCGTTATTTGAATGACAGCAGCGGAACGCAGAGTGATGTCGCGCACTTGTTTAAAATACCGCAAAGCCTATCGGGAAACTGCAGACGTCCCGGAAGTGGAGCTAATTTACCATGGGTACTGTAGTTTTTGGAATTCTAGTCGTGAGCCGTTGTGATGAATTTAAAGGTGCAATGTGTAATATTTACAACGATCTATTGACAGAAATGCAAAATAATATACATAACTATGTTTTCAGATGTGTATAAAGACCTTACTTAATTAACCGTTATGTTTTTATTACCTTAGATTGAGCAATTTCTATCTACATTCACCGCGGGTCCCCTTACATGGAAGTCGACACCATGTTTCTACAGTAGCCCTAAACGGACAAACTGCTCTACAGAGCGCGTTTCGTCACTTTGTTGTTCTTGCCAATAAAACACTGACACAATGATGAACAAGTACATTAACATTCGCAATAACATCGATTTATTGAATGATTAAGTCAATATAATTCCTTAATTTACCATTGTAAAGAAATCTCATTGCTCTCTGCTGTCTTTACTGACAACATCTTTACCTGTGTAGGCCACCGTAGCTTCTCTAAAGGGAGGGGTGAGCGGGGACTGAGCCGTTGGTTGCAATTCGCAATCTCACCACTAGATGCCGCTAAAATTTACACACTGCACATTTAAGTATTATTAGTCATTCAGAAATAGAAACGGACAACAGAATGTGACCTGCTAACTGAACTAAAATTAAAAGATGAAAGAATAAAATATTTTTTTGAAATTTTTAATGGCACTTTTATTATTGAAGCAAAAGCAAAGCAATTACACTATTAAAGGTTTTGGAATAAAATTGTTCAGGTCATACCTCAAACATAACTTGAAGTCACTGTTTAAAAAAAAGACATCACTGAGGTTTTAGTTAGCATTACAGCTGCTTAAAAATTCACAAAAATCTAATAATTTTAAACGCACACTTTATTTTACTCATAAAAGGACATTCTCCAATTCTCTTAATTAGAGTTGTTCAGTTTATCAACCTTTTTTAGGAGAAAGAAGGCTGTGTGTTAATCATATATATTAATATGCATAAAATACAGCACAATATTTACAACAATCATGTAATCCTGTATTTCAATGTTTTTATTGCTAGCTTAGAATATACATTTTAATGACTTTGGCACAATTTAAGATGTACAATAAAAAATGCAAAAACAAGATATTACAATAGCAAACTCCCAGAGAGCCTCTCTCTCTTGAAATTAAATCTACTCAGAATGTTCCTTTTCGATTTCGTCTTTGACATGCAAAGGGTTATACACCGTTGTTGTGGCACCTTTGAAAAGAGGATTCTGGACCTGTACAGAACAAACAGACATTTGATTGTTACGCGGTCATTCTGTAAATGATTTGATTTCACAATGAAACAAACAATATGTTGTCTACACAGGTTATAATTTGCTCTACATTTAAAGCCTACAAAGCTAACTGTGTTTACATATGTGTTCTACTGAAGAAACAAAGTCACCTACATCTTGAATGCCCTTGGGGTAAGCAGATAAACATCACATTTTCATTTTTGGATGAACTATCCGTTTAATAATACAGAGTGTCTTTGCATGTACATCACCTCTTTCCATTCGGTCTGTTTCTGTGCTTTGACAAAGTTCTGATATTCTCTAATGTCGTACAGCTCCAGCAGGCAACGGTAAATAATGATTATTATAATGCCAATAAAAATGATGCTTGACACAGAGATGCCAATTATAAGTGTAGTCTTATCAACAGAACCTACAGAGACAAAAAGAACAAACATTTAACATTCACAGTTACATCAATTCTGTGTCATATATGAGTTTAAGAGTGCGCTTATTTTACAGTCTTGTCAAATGAACTTAAAGTAGATTGTAATACATACGAGGCAGGTCTGCATATCGAAGCACAATTTTGCCGTCATCAAGTTTCACATCATATGACATGGTCGCTTCATATGTGCAACGCAGCTCATGAGTGCCATCAAGACGAGATACTGTAGCATTCAAACATTCTACAGCACAGACTTTGGGATCAGGAGTACCAGGTTCTACATGACATCCCACACAGCTCCTGCAGACATATTAAAACAAAGACATATTTGTCAGACACTTTTATCCAAAGTGATTTTGCATTTGTAGTACATTGCATTCAAGGTATTTTATCAGTTCATGCATTCCATGGGAATCAAACCTATGACTTTGGTGTTGCAAGCAGTGTTACTTTAGTATAATTAAGATACTATTATAGTTTTTATTAATATTTTGAATTAGTTTGTAGTTTTGTATTTTCTGTTTTTTAATATACCTATAAAGGTTTTGTTCGTTTTGATTTCAGTTTTACTTTGAGTTATTTTAATACATCAATTTAAACTAAGGAAATGAAATATATCAAGATCTTTTCTTCTTTTTTTTACCAAACAGAGTCCATTATACAGTCTGTTCCAGTCTAAGTGGGTAGCTGGAATAAGCCTCACAATGATTCACAATTCAAAAGTCTTGCTACCCAGCACTATGATCATTATAAGGTCTATGGAAGAGAAAACTGAAATTGTGACTTCACACAAAACCCACACACAAATGCACACCTCACTAAAAATAATCTTAGTATATATTAGTATTACATATTAGTTCACAGGAAGAGACAGATACTCACTTCAACAGCATGCACTCATCAGTGAATGCAGAGCAGTGCTCTCCCTTGAAGCCTTCGTTACACTGACAACGGTTGCAAGTGCATTTGCCTTGACCGCTGCAAAGTCCTTTGTCATTCATACACTTGTCTTGGCTAGGTGAACACTCGCATGCAGACCCCGTGTAGTCTTCAGTACAGTGACATGTCCCACACTTACATCTGCCTTTACCTATGACAAACGCACAGAGGGGTAGATAGTGAGTTTTGAATCTGAAATGTAAAAAAAGAAAGAAAGAAAGGCAACATTTTTGTGCCAGTCCACAGGACTTACCATTACAGAGATGGTTATTATGGTATTCACAACTATTGTCATCACATTCGCAGAATTTCCCACTGTAATGGCCGTGACACACACACTTGCCACACTCACAGGTGCCATGTCCACTGCAAACCAGTGAGCCGTTGTCAGGCCGACAGGATGCCAGCATGTTGATGATGGAGTCCGCATCACTCTGTTGCACACACTCGCAGCGCTGACCCAAATGCCCTTCATCACAGCTAATAAACACATCACACACACACTTTACAAATTAAAAAATGTAAACTGCAAGGCATACAGTATTTGCCAGTACGCACCAGCATTTAAAGCTTTTCAATCAAATAAGGTGTTCATTCGAAAGAGCTTTTTAAATAAATCAACATAACAATCAAATCACATCATATCACACATCATTCCGACCCCATATTATATTTTCTTACTTCTGTGAAACACAAAAGGTGACACAATACTGCCAACCCACAAAAAAGCACCACAAGATATCATAAAAGTAGTCTTTTGAAGACGTTATTGAGTATTAGACTGACCTTTAAGTTGCTAGTAACTGAAAATCTCATGAAAATAACAAGTTTGAAATATCTGACACTTAGCTTCTCATGTGTCATGTGACTAATCAAGACACATAAGTGACAAATGTGACTGGAAATGCCATTTTAAGACCTGCTGATGACTGTAATAGCAAATTAGATACATTCATTGTGCTTTTCTGTCTTTTTCGGAGCTTGGTAGTAATAATAAAATATTGTTGATTAGCCTTTCAGCTAACTTGGGTACATATATGAATGTACATGTACACTGACATTTCTTTGTAAGAAAATAATACAGGGCTGGAACAACATGATGACAAAATGTCAATTGTTTTTAATTATTACTTCAAGTTCAAAGATCCTCTAATCAAGTGGTCTGTTAGCTGATGCAGTTCTCTGCTGAGACGCTAGGGGTCTCTACCTGCACACGCCGCATGAGAGTGTTCCTGTACTGCTGCAGTGTTTGGAAGCCTTCTCTGGAACACCACAGTCACAGTGACACTCTGTATGCACTGTGATCTTCACCTCCTCATTGATGCCTTGCATTTTGATCCGAAATGTCTGAGGCTCCTTCAGACACGCAGACGCATTCAAACGTACATTGAACGCAATCTATAAAATCATTAAACGAAAAGAAAAAACAAAACTTCTTCAGGCTTATGAGATATAACAACAAATGTTTCCTGGTTGCTGATAATTCAGATGAAACCACTGATGGTGGTGCTTACCTGCTCATGCTTGATGCCTTGACACACTCCTTTCTCCTTCCATTCACTATCTGCCTGATTCCCCTTACATGTAGACTTGTAGGACACGTCCAATTCTTTTGGAGCTCCCTCCTGCTCTAACACCAGCGTGGACGACAAATTCTGGCCCACATAAACATGTATTTTCAGTATGTGTATATAAACACACAGTGATGTATGAATTATTAAAGCAAAAACATACATGTCTATGGTAAAAGTCTTTGTGTATAATTTGAATCATTATTAAATGTACATACATATGCCATATGTAATAAAAGTTTTTCAATAAGATGGCAAAAAAAAAAAAAAAATTAATATCATGTGGCTTTCTGGAATGCTTGATTCTAAAAGGTTAAATGTTTAATTCTGTGGTCCAATATTTGGATAATGATCACTAAACTGTATAATTGACTATTATTCCTGGCAAGCAATTTCTTACACTGTGCTAGTTTATTGTCTCTCATATGATCACAACAAGATCATTTAAACTCAAATCATTTAATTTATTATGGCAGTTATTTATTTGCTATATAGGTCATTTAATACACAATACACAGTTTCAGTTCATTTAGTAAACGATTTAACCATTTAAGCAGAAGTGGAAAACAGGGTTGCGGGGAAATGCTGACCGTTTTGTTCTAGCAGCCACTTGTAATCAGTTAGTTAAATGGGAAGTAGAGCCAGTGCACAAGCCAACATCACTAAACAAGGTCAAAACATTAAATTATGAAAACACTCACCCCATATGCTTCAGAGATGAGATCCACAACATTACTTGAG